AGACAGAGCATGAGCATGGGAGAGGCAGAGAGGGGGACACACAGAATCCAAAGCAGGCTCCAGTCTGTGAGCTGTCAGCACAGAGCCTGATGCAGGGCTCGACCCACAAACCATGAGATCGTGACCTGAGCTGAAGTCGGATGCCCAACCAACTGAGCCACCCAGGCACCCTCTTTATTTTTTGTATAATGAAGAATTTGTCTGGTGTTTGTCCTGGGTTCCTAGCACAGAGCTTCTAAAGCCCTTTGAATTTCCTGAGGGAGAGGAGTGCCGTTGGTAGTCAATGAGGTGACTCATGGGGGGGGCGGTTTACAAATCTTCATGATTGGGACTGGTCACCAGGAAGGCCAACTGAGTGATTGGGGTGGAGGCTGAAACTCCATTTAGGTAAAAATGAAGTCTTACTGATGGGGGGCCTTAATATAAGTGACTCCACCTGTGGTTTTCTTTTTAATACCGCCTGACTGGGCAGACCCCAGGGAGAGGCCCTGAAACTGCTTGAAGAGAGACATACCTGGTCAGCCCCCAGCTGTTTCAGCTCTTCCCTTCGCCCATCCAGTTCTAGCTGTCTGCAGACACAACACAGGAGAGATCCTGAGCCAGAACCACCCAGCTGAGCCCTTCCCTAATTCCTGACCCTCAGAAACCTGGAGAGATAGTAAAATGACTGATTGTTTTAAGCCACAGAATTGGGGCTGATGTTTTAGGCAGCAATAATAACTAGAACACTTTCTGTTTCCCTTACAAATTAATTTTTCTCAATATCACTAACATATGATATAATTTACCAGTTTATTCTCTTTCTCCCCCACTAGAATGTGAGCTCCTGAAGATAGAGATATTTGTTCATTCCTTCTTTCATGTTGCCTATAACAGTGCCTGGCACATAGAAGGTGCTCAATGAATGTTTGTTAATGAATAGATGAAGTGGTGGGGAGAGACTAGCTCAGGTGTCCGAATTCCCCAAGTCCACTTTCTACTAATGGAGTTTATTGAGGGTGACTTTGAACCTGCTCTGGGACTTCACAGGGAAAGAACAACAGTAGACTTCTTTTCACATATTTGGGCTCTTGTTTTCCTCCTTTCTCTCTTTTTTAGGTCCATATGTTCCAAGCTACATCCATCTTCCAGATTTTCTCATATATTTCAGTCTGATAATTTATGTTTTCTTGTTTTTCTTAACTATGGAAGTTGTTTTTCTTTTTAACTCTTTTAAGGGTTTTTTTTTTGTATTCTCTTAGTGGGATTTTAAGCAGGAAGAGAAATAGATACATGCCCAGTGTGCTGTTCTGATACAATCCCCACTCTCTTAGTTTTCCTTTTTTGATGCCATCTTGATCATTCCATAAAGGTGTGTGTGCCTTATAACTTGTATGTGCCCTGTAGGAACTGCCATTTTCTTTTTTTTTGAAAATTTTTAATGTTTACTTATTTTTGAGAGAGAGAGGGAGAGAGACAGAACACAAGCAGGGGAGGGGCAGAGGGAGCAGGAGACAGGATCCTCAGCAGGCTCCAGGCTCTGAGGTGTCAGCACAGAACCCAATGCAGGGCTCAAACTCATGAGCTGTGAGATCATGACCTGAGCCAAAGTCAGATGCTTAACCAACTGAGCCACCCAGGTGCCCCAGTAACTGCTGTTTTCTAAACTGCTATCAAATTATACTCTTCCAAGAATGGAAGAGAGTTCCACTTTCTCCACAAGGTCATTAGTCCTTGACATTGTCAGTGTGTTTAAATTTAGTGGTTTTGGTGAGTATATAGTATCATCTCATTGTGGTTTTAATTTATATTTCCCTGATGAATTATGATGTTGAGCTTTTTATATGCTTATTGGCCATTTGATAATTCTCTTGAGTGAAATTCTTATTTAAGTTGTTTGCCCATTTTTCTTTTTTTTTTTTTTTTTTTATTCATTTCTAGGAGAGAGAGAGAGAGACAGCGTGAACAGGGGAGGATCAGAGAGAGAGGGAGTCACAGACTGAAACAGGCTCCAGGCTCCGAGCTGGCAGTCAGCACAGAGCCCGACGTGGGGCTCGAACCCACGAACCGTGAGATCATGACCTAAGCGAAAGTCGGACGCTTAACCGACTAAGCCACCCAGGCGCCCCACCCATTTTTCAATAGAGTCATCTTTCCCTTACTTATATTTAGGACTATTTATATATTCCTGATAGAAGTCCTTTGTCATATATATGTATTGCAAACATCTTCTCCATGTGTATGGTTTGCTCATTCACTTTCTCAATGACATTGTTGATGAACAGAAAGTCTTGATTTAAATAACATCTAATTTATCATTGTTTTGTTTTATGTTAGTGCTTTTTGTATCCTTTTAAGCAATTTTTGCATACTTAAAGGTCATGAAGATATTGCTCTTTCTTCTTTTTTAAAAAGTTTACTTCTTTATTTTGAGAGAGAGTGTGCATGCATGGGGGAGGCATAGAGAGAGTGTGCACTGTCAGTCAGAGCAGAGCCCGATGTGGGGCTCACACTCATGAACCATGAGATCATGGCTTCAGCTGATGTCGGCTGCTTAACTGACTGAGCCACCCAGGCACCCCTGAAAATTGTAGTTTCAAATCCAACAATGTTCTTACTTCAAATTCCTTTTATTATTATTATTATTATTGCCTGATTTGGCTTTAGATACATTGGTACCTCCTTCCTTTACAATTGTATTCTTCCCTCAGCTCCTCTTCTTTTATCAGTCCCCATTCTCCAGGCATAAAAATAATTTTCCCTTTGTTTTCTATCTTACTTATCCAGCGTGTTATAGTTATTTGTTTATATGTTGCCTCCCCAGTTTCCCTGTAAGCTCCTTATGAATACAATCATATTTTTCCATTTTTATATCACAGCACCCAGCATGATGTCTTGTACACCTTAGGTGCTCAATAAAAGGTTGTCGAGTTGAATCGTGTCTTGATTCTCAAACTTGGAGGGCAGAGGTGCCTGAGTGGTTCAGTTGGTTAAGCAAACTCTTGGTTTCTGCTCAGGTCATGATCTCACCATTGGTGGGTTTGAGCCCCATGCTTGGGATTCTCTCTCCCCTCCCCCAAAATAAGTAAACATAAAACAAAAAACTGGAGGGCCATGGCAGGAGGATATGAGATATCTTTTGGGGTAATGGAAATGTTCTAAAACTAGAATGTTCGCACAACTTTGTAAATTTACTGCAAATCATTGAATCATACACTTAAAATGTGAATTTGATGGTGTGTAATTACAATTTAATAACAGTGTTTAAAAAAAATAGAGAACTGGGGGGTGTGCCTGGCTGGCTCAGTTGGTACAGCATGCCACTCTTGATCTCAGGGTTGTAAGTTGGGGCCTCACATCGGGTGTAGAGATGACTTAAAAATACAATCTTAAAAAAAAGAAAAATAAATTAAAAAAGGACAATGATGGCAAAGTTGTGGCAAAGCCATTGCTACTACTGAAAACTTGAACTTCAAATACTAGGAATATCTTTGTACATTTTGTGCAAAGTTGATCATTGTTACCTGCAAGAAGGTTAGTTTGATAAAAAGTTTGATAAAATGTCAATAGTAAGTTGACTATTATCAGAAATGAAACTCCCAGATTCGAGGTGTTTGTTGTCTTACTTGCGAATGGTAAATAATTTTAACTGGCTTGCCAATTCCAGTCCATTGTAAATATTGGCCTGGGGCACTGTATTAAGGATTGCACATCGGGATTTGGATCCAGTGGAATAGGATGTGGTGATGGATTATCCGCCTGAGCCTGGGGAGTGGAGGAGCAGAGGTGTGTGTCCATGCCATGCATGTCCCATCCTTTATCTGTCTGATGTCGCCCAGCCACTCCTGTGAAGGTAGCTCATCTACTACTGGGGGTGGGAAATTATCAGAAAATTAGAATGGAAACTTTTATATTTGTAAAGGAAAGGGCAAAGGTAATTAGCTGATCTCTCTGTGTCTGCTACTCCTTGGATCTATGTATAAGGGATGAATATGAACTGAGGTGTGTTAGAGAACTAGGGCTGTCATAACTAAGTACCACAGACTGGGTGGCTTCCACAACAGTTCCAAGGCTAGAAGTCCAAGATCAAGGTGGTGGTAGGGTTGGTTGATCCTGAGGCCTCTCTCCTTGGCTTGTAAATGACCGTCTTCTCCCTGTGTCCTCACATGATCTTCTCTCTGTTCATGTCTGTGTCCGGATTCCTTCTTGGAACACCAGTTAGTTATTGGCTCAGGGCCTACCTTAATGACCTTATTTTAACTGAATCCCCTTTTTAAAGGCCTATTGCCAAATACAGTCACATTCTGAAGTATTGGAGATTAGGACTTCAACATATGAATTGGGGGAGAGCACAGTTTAGCTCATGACATGAGAAAACTTTTTAAAAATTAAATAAGGTTAAAGTGAAATAGAAACTATATGTTCAAGGGCACTTGGCTGGCTCAGTTGGTAGAGTATATGACTCTTGATCTCAGGGTCATGAGTCCAAGCCCCACGTTGGGAGTGGAGTCTACTGAAAGAAAGAAGGAAAGAAGGAAAGAAGGAAAGAAGGAAAGAAGGAAAGAAAGAAAGAAAGAAAGAAAGAAAGAACGAAAGAAAGAAAGAAGAAACTACATTGAGAATCAAAACCAAAAACAATATTTCATCCCCTTTGAAGGACATGTACTAATAAAGCTGACGCTGGGAGCAATGCCATGTGCAAATGAGCTGAAGACAAGAATGACTGCATATCTGGTCTTGATTTTGTCCCTTAGTTAAAATCAGTTGAAGAGTCTCTGCTAGGTGGTCCCCCATGAGCTGCTTCACCCGTGAGCATATTTATCATTTAGTTTATGGTCTCCTGTCACAATTGGATTGGTCTTTCAGGCTAAGATTCCAACTTGAACTTTGCATTTCCCCATCCAGGGCAGAATGCCTTTCTAACAGCAGTTTGCCTGTGGATATAAATAGCATCTGTCCCCTACATGGTGCTGTGATGAAGTCATTAGAGCATTCGTGATATTGTTTCTTTGGTCTTCTAGAGGCTTTCTGAATGAAGCTTTCCGGAAAGGAGGCCCAGATGGTTCCAGTGCCCGCCTCATGAGGGGAGAGATCACATATTCCCAGGTAAGGTGACACTTCATAGATGCCTCCTGTCCCCCACAAGAAGGCATTCTGTGCCCATGAACCCATTCTCCCGCACTGATTAGAAGCTCCCTGAGGGCAGACTAATGTTTGCTACACCCGTTTATACCCCTTATAGTACTTACCTCGGAAGACTGGGATGGAGGCCTGAAAACACACAAAGAGAGGGGCGCCTGGGTGGCTTAGTTGGTTAAGCGTCCAACTTTCACTTAGGTCATGATCTCGCGGTTCGTGGGTTCGAGCCCCGCGTCGGGCTCTGTGCTGACTGCCAGCTCAGAGCCTGGAGCCTGTTTCAGTCTGTGACTCCCTCTCTCTCTGACCCTCCCCTGCTCGCACTGTCTCTCTCTCTCTCCTAGAAATAAATAAAACATTTAAAAAAAAAAAAAAAAAGAAAACACACAAAGAGATATTTAAGGCTGGTGTATTGTCTCTTTGGGCCAGGTATCAGGATATACCCCATGACTGGAGAATTTCCAAAGCTTTAAAGATCTACGCCTATTACCATAACCAGAGTAGCTTTTTTTCCCCCTTAAATTGTGGCAAAGTACACATAATAGAAAATTTACCATCTTGGTCATTTTAAGCATATAATTTTGTAACATAAAGTGTGTTCACGTTGTGAAACCATCACCACCATGTATCTCCAGAAATCTTTTCATCTTGCAGAAGTGAAATTCTATACCCCTCAAACAATTAACTCCCCATCCTATTTTTCCCTCAGCCACCAGCAACCATGGCTGAACTTTCTGTCTCTATGTATGTAGCTGCTCTCACTAAATCATTTAAGTAGAATCATGCTGTATTTGTCCTTTTGTGACTGGCTTATTTCCCTTATCATGGTGTCTTCAAAGTGCATCCATGCTGTGACATATGAAAGGATTTCTTTCCTTTTTAAGGATGGTTCGTTTTCCATTGTGTGGATAGACCACATTTTGTTTCTCCATTCATCTGTCCATGGACATTGGTTGTTTCCACCTTTTGGTTATTGTGAGTGATACAGCTGAGAACATGGGTGTATTAATATCTGTTTCATACTTTGCTTTCAATTCTTCTGGGTATGTATACCTTAGAAAGAATTGCTAGATCAGTGCAAGATTTGAGTCACAGCTCTCACTTATAGATTCTGTGAACCCAGCAAGTTGCTTAACCTCTTAAAGTCTCAGTCAAAGTGAGAGCAGTATATTCTCTATTTCATAGGTTATTAGGAAGCTTGGAAAATGTCTAGCACAGTGCCTGGCACATAGAAAGGCTCAATAAATAGTAGTTATTATTGTTACTACAACCTTGATTGTTTTTTAATTTTTATTATTTTTTACATGTTTATTCACTTTTTAATGTCTCATTTATTTTTGAGAAAGAGAGAGAGAGACAGTGTGAGCAGGGGAGGGTCAGAGAGAGAGGGAGATACAAAATCTGAAGACAGACTACAGGCTCTGAGCTAGCTGTCAGCACAGAGCCTGACGCGGGGCTCAAACCCACAAACTGTGAGATCATGACCTGAGCTGAAGTCAGATGCTTAACCAACTGAGCCACCCAGGCGCCCCTGTTTACTCATTTTTGAGAGACAGAGCACGAGTCGGGGAGGGACAGAGAGAGAGGGAGACACAGAATCTGAAATAGACTCTAGACTCTGAACTGTCAGCACAGAGCCCGATGCGGGGCTTGAACTCACATACCACAAGATCATGACCTGAGCTGAAGTCAGATGCTTAACTTACTGAGCCATCCAGGCACTCCCCTCAATTGTTTTTTATAAAGAAATCAGGATTTGAAATCACTTGAATCCGGTTAGTGTCTGGAAGAAGAAAAGCTATTGAAAATCTATTTCATAAGCGCACAGAGAACACAGTTTATATTTTAAAACTTTTTATGAACTACAGCTACCTATCTGTCTGTCAGAAAACTTGGGGCACACTGTAGTAGAAAGCAAAAGCATCCATATCCTGTGAAGTCCCATCACATACATAGAGACACACACACACACACACACACACACACACACACACACACTGTGGCCACTGGGGGTATGAAAATTAATGATACTGTTGAGAATTAATGTTGAGTCAATAAAAAATCTGCAGTAATATTGTTGAAAGATAAGAAAAGAGGGAAGTGCTATGTGTTTTGAATCAACATAGGAATTCTATAGGGAATTTCTTGTAATTGCTGTAAAAACCCTGCATCCATTCAGACTTCTTTTAGTCTGTGTGCAGCTTCTAGGGAACTTGAATGGTTAGCAGATGAGGTCTGAAACACCGAATAGCAGTTGACCCTTGAACAACGTGCATTTGAACAGCATGGCCCCACCCATATATGGATTTTTTCCAATAAATACACATATAGTGCTGTAAATGCATTTTCTCTTAGGTTTTTCTTAACAACATGTTCTTTTCTCTAGCCTATTTTATTGTGTGAATACAGTATATAATACATATAACATAAAATACGTGTTAATCAATTGTATGTTATCGGTAAGGCTTCTGCTCAACAGCTTATTAGTAGTTAAGTTTTGGGGAGTCAAAAGTTATATGTGGATTTTCGACTGTATGAGGGGTCCATGCCTCCAAACCCCTCATTGTTCAAGGGTCAACGCTACTTAGGTTCAATTTGTCTTTTAAAAAGTCGTATCATGGGAATGAGCATCATCCTTAATTAATCATTTGTGTATACAACACAGACAGAAAAATAAACTAAGGGTACAGCTTAATGAATTTTCACCGACTGACTGCACCCACGTCAGCAGCACCCAGATCAAGAAATAAAACATAATCAGTGCTCTAGGCACCCCACTTACGCCCTTTCTAGATACGTGCCCTCCAAGAGTAACTACCCATCCTGACTTCTAATGTTAGAGATCACTTTTTGTACTTTATGTAAATGGAACCATGCAGATGAACTCTTTTGTATCTGATATCTTTTCCTCCACATTGTATTTGGAGAATCAGAGATGTTACTGTGCGCAGTTGTAGATAGTTTTATTCTCATTGCTGCATGATATCCCATTATGTGAATATACCCCAATCTGTTTATCCATTCTGCCTTTTTTCACCCTGAGATGTAGAGGCCTTGGGAGATTTTGAGTGGTGAAGTAAATATATGTCTTTGCAGCAAGGAAAAGGTTGATTCAAGAAGCAGCCAAATGAGGGGATGGGAGGGCAAGCCTCAGACCCACCTCCTGAATGATACTTTTAACCTCCTGACTCTTGCCGCTGTATAAAAAGATCAAAACAGCAAAGATCATTATAGAGAACTAATTATGGACATTATTCGAAGATCTAGGTGAGAGATGGTGGTAGCTTGGGCTAAAATATTGGTGGAAGCTGTAAAAAGTGGCCTGAGTCTGGAATAGTTTGCCCATAGACTCAGCAGGTTCTCCTGGTGGATCAAGTGTGAGTATGAGAGAGGAATGAAGGATAAAAGGCTTCTGGCCATAACCAACTGGAAGTATCAGTTGCTGTTCATCACTGTGGGGCTGGGAAATCAGGTGTCCAGGTTGGGATATTTTAATGTGAAATGCTTATTGATTTCCAAATAGAGTGTAGAATAGGCAGCTGGATATGCAAACCCAGAGATGAAGAAACATGTCCAAGCTGAATGGATGTGTGTATATATATACATATACATATATACACATATGTATATGCATGTATATGTACACATACATACACACATACAGCATATAGATTACATTTTTAATGCCATTGGACTCAGTATGATCATGGAGAAAGAAAGTGTAAATGGAGCATCCAGACCCCCAGGTACTGTACTGTTAAAGATCAGGTTGATGAGGAAGACCCAGCAATGAGGGATAGAGAATGAATCTCCATCCATAAGAGAAAAATCAGGAAGGTGAGAAGACCTGAAAGCCAAGAAGTTATCAAGTTTCAGATGAAGAGAGTGGTCATCTGTGTCAATGTAACTGATAGGTCAGATAAAGTGAAGGCCGGGGAGTGCCCATTTGATACAGCAACACAACATGGAGGTCATTGGTAACATTGCCAAGAGAAGTCTCTGGAATGTGGAGGTAGAAGCCTGTTCAAGAAAGAATGAGATAAAGGGTTTGAAGACTATGTGAAGTTTTCATGCAAAGTGGGGCATAAAAATGGGGCAGTAGTGGGAGGGGACAGGGTGAAGAAAGAGACTTTCTTTATGAAAACAACATGCTTGTATGCTGATGGCAATGACCTACTAGCAAGGGAGATTGCTGATAGAGGAATAAGGAAGGGAGACCCATGGAGTCACGTCCTTGAAGCAGAAAGAGATGGAATCTGGATGGAGGGGTTGAACTTTGATAAGAGCAATGGACCATTATCTATGGCAAGAGAAGGGAAGGTGGAGTTCTTGGCCACAGATGCCAGTAGGTGGATATTTGTGCTGGTGGGAACATGTGAAAATTCTAATTATTCTCCCTTCCTCCAACCCTCCTCACTGTTTCCAGGATGACCTCCCTAAAATGCAAATCTCCTTATATAACTCTCCCACTTAACTATATATATATTTTTACTTGTGTAATAGTCTAAGGCTGGAAGAGTTTTATTATTTTTATGGAAAGGTGAATTCTTTCATCATTTTTTCAATTCTTTTAATGACGTTAGTCTATTTGCATTTTATGTTTTATCTTGCATCCATTTTGGCATTTTAATCTTTTTTTTAAGTTTATTTATTTATTTTGAGAGAGAAAGAGAGCACATGAGCAGGGGAGGGGAAGAGAGAGAGAGAGAGACAGAATCCCAAGCAAGCTGTGAGCTGTCAGTGCAGACCTCAACCTGGGGCTCAGTCTCATGAACTGTGAGATCATGACCTGAGCCAAAATCAAGAGTCAGGCATTCAACTGACTGTGCCACCCAGGTAACCTGCCCCCCTTTTAAAAATCTTTTGACTGCCCCTCCCCCATTGTTCCCACCCCTACCTACCTGTTCCTGTCTCTAGCAGACACATTCTCTGTATCTATGCGTTTGGCTTTTTTTTGGTATTGTTTTGTTTTGGCTTCAGTTTTTAATTTAGTTTCTACATATAAGAGAGATCATACAATATTTTTCTTTCTGTATACTACTTCACTTAACATAATGCCCTTGATCTTCATCCATATAGTCACAAATGGCAAAACTTTTGTTCTTTGTAGCTGAATAATATTCCATTGTATTTATATATCACATTTTCTTTATCCTTCATTCATCCATTGATGGCTACCTTGTTTTCATTTCTTGGCTATTATAAACAATGCTGCAGTGAACATGGGGGTACAGATATCTTTTCGAGTTGGTGTTTTTGTTTTCTTTGGATAAATACGTAGAAGTAGAATGCTAGATCATATGGTAGTTCTATTTTTAATTTTTTGAAGATTGTCCATATTGTTTTATACAGCAACTGTACCAATTGACATTCCACCAACAGTGTGGAGGGGTTCCCATTTCTCTATAGCCTCACCAACAATTGTTATTTCTTGTCTTTTTTGGTAAAAGCCATTCCAATAGGTGTGAGGTTGTATCTCATTTTGGTTTTGATTTGCATTTCCCTGATGGTTGGTCAAGTTGAGCATCTTTTCATGTGTCTGTTGGCCATCCATATGTCTTCTTTGGAAAAATGTCTTTTCAGATCTTCCATATATTTTTTAATCAGATTGTTTGTTTTTTTGCTATTTAGTTGTGTGAGTTCTTCATATGTTTTGGATATTAGCTCCTTATCAGATACGTGATATCTGATATATTTTTTTCCATTCCATAGGTTTCCCTTTTCATTTTGTCATTTTTTTGATGTCTTTCTTTGCTGTGTAGAAGCTTTTTAGTTTGATGCCGTCCCACTTGTTTATTTTTGCTTTTGTGGCTTTTACTTTTGTTGTCAGATTCATAAAATCATCACCAAAACCTATGTCAAGGAATTTACCACCTGTGTCTTCTTCCAGGGGTTTTATGGTTTCAGTCTTTCATCCATTTTGAGTTGATATTTGTGTACCATGTAAAATAGGAGTCAAGTTTCACTGTTTGGCATGTTGCTGTCCAATTTTCCCAACACCATTTATTGAAGAGATTGTCTTTTTTTTCCCATTGTATATTCTCAGCTTCTTTGTTGTAAATTATTTGACTACATATGCAGGGGTTTATTTATGGCCTCCCTATTATTCTGCTATTGGGTATTTGGGTAGTTTTCAGTTTGAACCATTACAAATAGTGCTGCTATGATACTGTGTAAATGTATCATAATCCTTTTTCCCTTTAATAAGTGTATTATCTAGACCCACTGTAACAAAATATCACAGACTGAGTGGCTTAAACAATAGAAACTTATTTTCTCATAGCTCTGGAGCCTTGAAGCTCAAGATGATCTTGATGAAGATCAAGGTATTGATAGGGTCAGTTTTTTCTGAGGTCTCCCTTCTTGACTTCTAGTGGCCAGTCTTCTCTGTTTCTTCAGTATTTCCTGTGCATGTGTGTGTCTCCCCTGATCTCCTGTTCTTAACATGGTACCAGTCAGATTAGATTAGGGCCCACTCAAGACCTCATGTTACCTTAATCACCTCTTTAAAGACCCTACCTCCAAGGACAGTCACATTCTGAAGTATGAGGGGTTGAGATTTAAACATGAATTTGGAGGGAACACCATTCAGCCCATCACAGGGGCATTTGTGTAGTTTGCAGTGTGGGGCTCTTAGGAATAGAGGTGCTACACTGCGCTAGAACAGTGCATATGTGTACATGTCTTCTGGTGAATATATGCAGTCATTCCTGTTGGGTGTGTGTCTAGGAATGGAATTGCTGGATCACAGCAAGGGATTGTTCAAGGGGTTGTATGAACTGATAGCCCCTCATCAATTCACTTTTACAGTGGGTCCCACTCATGACAGCAGACTGCAGGAAGTGTTCTGAAGACTCTGGAATCCGCCTCCCTGAGAATTTCTCTGTAAATCAGATTTTTGGCAAGGCGGCTGCAGTGAGGAAGATCAACCACCCCATGCTTCAGGCGGCTCTTGCTCTCAGAAAGCAAGGTAGGGATCCCATACTGGCCATTCTTGGAAATAACCACACCAGAACCCTTGGAAAGGTTGGGTCAGAAGACCTCTAGATGAGTTCTGAGATCACAGGTCTTCTGGGCCTCGATGGAAAGCCATTCTTAAGACATAGCCCAAAAGTAAGTTTTATCAAATAGCAAAAAATAACACCATCAGAATGTCTGGGAAAATGTAGGAGTTTTATTTAATAAAGCGATTTGTGCCAGAGACTGCCTTGTGAGCAAACTTCTCTCCCTCCAATGACACTAGTCATGACCAGAACGACCCAATTTTTTATCACAGTGATTGAAAATTAAGGCCTTTTAAGCAATGGTGATTGTCTCACCCTTTGAATATCAAAGGGGCTGAACTATGAGCTGGCTGACATGAATTCAGAAGGTGTCAGACGGTCTAAGATGTGAGATCATGTTTGTCCAATAGACATTTATTCATTGTCAGAGCCCAGCTCTTTGTCACAGGCATACTCGAAATCATTCTACCTGCTTATTAGTAGACGTATCTGGTCTCAGCTAAGCCATCCCATGTCCGTATTTCTACTCATGTTATATGGACAGGATCTCACCACTGACTCATCAGTATCTCATTTCCAGCATCTCCTGGTTCTTGCCCTTCGTGGCCTGGGAGAGAAAGCCAGGGGATAATGCTATCTCTGTTTACATTCTTCTAGTTTTGAAATGGGAATGCAGTCTCTGACAACTAAGGCAGGTGTTTTGAAGTATAGTCGAGCTGAGTTTTCAGTAATATAGACTGGAAGAAGCACTGGAGGGGCAGTCCAGAGGCACAGTTCTGAGTGGGCTGGATTCTGCCTTTGCCATGTGGCCCAGGGAAGCTCCTAGTTTTTCTGAGCTTCTGTTTGCTTGTCTATAAAAGTAGACGGTAAGATCTGTCCTGCCTACCCCAGAGGTGGTGAGGATCATGTGAGCTGATGAAGGTTATAACCTCTTGCTCTATGGTTACAAGGAATTGAGGGAAGTAGTGTTTCTATCCATGCTTCTGAAAGGCCTTAATGTACACAGTTAGCTCACTCTCATGTCTCTGTGTCAGGAGGTGCTTATGTGAAGATGCTTCTTTTCCAACCTGTCAGTTTAGAAGCAGGGCAAAACCCTGCTTGGCCCCTTCTTTGGGGTTCCCTGTGGGATACCCTGAGCTTCTCAGAGCAGAGTCCTGTATCTGGTCCAGTCACTGGTGACTTCTCTCTCAGGATACACAACCTGCATCCTCACCAACAACTGGCTGGACGACAGTGCTGAGAGGGGCACCTTGGCCCAGCTAATGTGCGAGCTGAGGCCACACTTTGACTTCCTGATAGAGTCGTGCAGGATCAGAATGGCCAAGCCTGATCCTCAGATCTACAAGTTCCTGCTGGACACCTTGAAGGCCAGCCCCAGTGAGGTATGTACACAACTCCCTTTAGTGAAAAAGATGTTCTAGAGAATGCAATCAAGAAAAACTGTGGAGGAGTGAGCAGGTGGGGGACATCTGGAACCTGGCAGGACCTCTAGGTCCAGGGGCAGGGTCCTGTTCTCCCAGGCCAGGACTTTTTTTTTTTTTAACAAATAGTTTATTGTCAAGTTGGTTTCCATATAACACCCGCAAGTGTTATGTGTGCTCATCCCCACAAGTGCCCTCCTCTATGCCCATCTCCCCTCCCCCCCACCCCCACCCATCAGTCCTCAGTTTGTTCTCAGCATTCAAGAGTCTCTCCCAGGACAGGACTTTTAAAGGACTTTACCCATCTCTTCAGTCTAGAACATTCTACAAGATGTGGACATCTGGCCCCTCTCTGTGGCTTTTATTGGTCACAACAGGTAACGTCAAAACTGCTGACCAGCTGCCTCAGTTTACTTATAAAGAAACATAGACAACATAGACCCTGGGAGACTTTCCCAAGGCCACAAGGCTGGTAAGAGTCACCCCACCAAGGGGTGAGCAGAAGCAGGCTCCAGTATTACAGCTGTCTCTCTAGGCACCACTAACTTCTATCCTTGTATTGCTTCTATTTATCTATTTCGAAAACCCTGTTTTCCTTGTATTCCCCACCTCTAATTTGAAAAAGGCAATCAGACCAAGATTAAATTCCTTTCGCTGGTGTTTCTGACTCTTTCTCATTGGCCCCCCCTCATCCACAAGGTGATCAGATGAAACCCTGAACTCTGCCATGGGGAGTCCTTACCAGGCTCAATCACAGAACGCTTCCTCTCTCCTCTTAAACTTTGCTCCTGCTCCCCTCAACCCCTGGATTAAGCCTCGTAACAGTGCTCTGAATTTTGGTGTGCGTATAAATAAACATCTTCTTATTTCTGGCTTTTGGGTTGTGTGAGCTGCTTAGAAGTCTATGCCTGCCATACTCCAAGATGATGAATGCACTTATGCTTTCTTATACAACTTTAAGGATTTTCCTTTAACTTTAAAATTTAAATCTTTGCTCCATTCAGAATTTATTTTGGGGTGAGGTATGAAGGAAGCATCCATTCCCCCCCCCCCATACAGTTAAAATAATTATAGAATCTTTTAAATACTATTTTTCCTTTCTGGGCAGACAACAAGAATTGTCACTTATATTTGGGTTTATTCCTTAACTCTCTTCAATTTCACTGACATGGCTATCTTCTAATATCCCCAACCCCACTTTTTTTTTTTTTTTTTTACCTTCTGTGGCTTGATAATTTGTTTTAGTATTTGCCCTTATTACAGTTCTTTTCCACACTTTTTTTGTCTGTTCATCTGTTCATACATGTTGATTTCCTAGATGAATTTATTTTGATGTCACCCTGATAAATTTATATCCTTTTTAAATTTTCTTATAGTTTCAGAATTCAGGCTGAAGTGCATGTGGGAATAAGTATATCTATCTGTGTGTTTATGTGTATGCTCATATACTGAAATATCTTTAACTTTTTAAAAAATGTTTATTTATTTTTGAGATAGAGACAGAATGCGGGTGGGGGAGGGGCGGAGAGAGAGGGAGACACAGAATCCAAAGCAGACTCCAGGCTCTGAGCTGTCAGCACAGAGCCCAATGCTGGACTCAAACTCACAAACCGCAAGATCATGACCTGAGCCGAAGTTGGATGCTTAACTGACTGAGCCACCCAGGCGCCCCTAAATATTTTTAACTTTAAGAGTAAACAACTACGTGGAGAAAAAATAATTCATCATCTTATCATTATAAAATAACCAGTGTTTGCATTTTAACATGTTTCCTTCCGGTGTTGCCCTTCACATGTGAGTTTTGCTTTGGCTGCAGTGATTCTAGTATCCACGCTATTTGCATGCAGGTGGTGTTCTTGGATGACATCGGGGCTAATCTGAAGCCAGCTTGTGACTTGGGGATGGTCACCATTCTCGTCCATGACACAGACACAGCCCTGAGGGTACTGGAGAAAGTGACTGGGATGCAGGTAACGCCAGGTTGGGTTTCCACCCATCACCAGTGTTCAGGTGTGTGAGAGACAGCAAGAGAGGGAAGAACAGGTTCCAGGGGTGCTTGCACCTCCCAGGTGGGAGCCCGGTACCTGTTGTGCAGTCAGCATGATGTCCTTGAACTTCATACTTCTTTCTCTGCAGTCATGCCCAGAGAAACTTCTCTGAGGGTGAGAATCCATACTAGTTAGAGTCGGAAGAACCAAGACCCAAGACAAGAGTGCGGCTTTCAAAGCCACCAGACTTGACGTTTTAGAGTAAATATTGAGAACTTAGCTGCTGAGGCTGTCCTCGTGGGGGTGGTGGCCCAGTCCTCACTTCATCTACCCCATCATACTGCTGGCACTCAGGCACAGTGGTTTAGTTAACTATCCCTCACAGAGGGGGAGTGGATGCCCTTGATGATGTCCCCTGGTGGGGAGCCTGCTGTGCCAGAGCCGAGGAACCTTTTTGGTGTTCGAAGTTTACCTAAGACGGCTGAGACCAGGCATGGCAGGAATGCCATGGCCTTTGGAAGAGACAGGCCTTTGCAGGAATGCCGTGCTTTGCATGTGTTAGTGTCATGGGAGAAGAGGGAGGGACATGCGGCTGGCTGAGCTAGCTGGCCGTCACAGCCATCCCGGCCACTTTCTCTAAGGGAACCATGTTCATTTCCTGAGCTGCTGTGAAGTACAGACTGGGTGGCCGAGACCAGCTCACTAGGAGGCCGGAAGTCCAAGTGTTGGTGGGGACGGTTCCTTCTGGGGCCTCTCTCCTTGGCCACATTCTCTCTGCCTTCATGTGGTCTTCCCTTGCGTGTGTCCAAATGTTCTTCTCTTAAGGGGACACCAGCCAGATTATATTTTTACTCCAAAAGGCTCACTCCAGTGATGTCATTTAACCTAAATGACCCCTTTAAAGACCTTCTCTCCAAATACAGTCACATTCTGAGGCCCTGGGGATTAAGACTTCAACAGACGAATTTGGAGAGGACACAAACTTAGCCCCCCCCCCCCCCACATGACAGGAACAATTGACTTGTTGTCTGTAACAAATAAATATGTATATCTACTGACTTCACAACCTCCAAATGTCCTGCGCAGGCTTAATTGATCCATCCACAAGCCTGGAAGTCTCGTGCAGCAGAGAAGAACACACCTCGACTTGCAATCCCAGCAGCCACTTGCTTGCCTCACTTACTAGTATCCCCTTGTCATATACGAGCCATAGAAACCTGTCCTGTAACATTGGAAAAGTAAGCCATGCCTTGCCTGTCTTCTCCAGGGTATGGGGAAGATAAAAGGAAAAATGAAAATGACGTTTCTAAAGTGAGGGAGACATACCCCTTATCTCTCAGGAAGGCTCTGGGACCCAGTCCTGAACACGCTTTGTAAATGGTACTAACAGCAGGAGAACAGTGAGCAGGAAACCCCCACCCTCTCAGGCCTGGACACAGTGGGACATCTATCTGCTAGTGTGTGACAGGGATACCTTAGAAGAACGGCCCCCAGGCACACTGGCCTTTGGTCGGTGTCTTGGCTTCCTCAGGCCACACAAGGGCCATTGGTCATCAGAGGCCACCGAGCTGCCCATCCCTCCCGCCACACCCTGAGTCCTTTCCAGATGCCACAGATTTTAGGGGCTTGCCTTCTATTTCCCCCCTTGGAGGACACCCAGGCAGACTCCTGCCTGGGTTTAAAAGGGAGATAAACATAGTTTACTTCCTGCACTTTAGAGGTCAGAGAACTAGATAGCTGATGAGGGGCACTTCCTTAAGTTACACCTTTGGGGTTAAAGCTGAGAGATATAGCAGTAGAAGTCACCAGTACGTCACTTCTCATGAATAAGTTCATCTATGTGTGCTTGGCATTCTGTCCTTTGTCATTTTTGTCTCAAGAAACCTGATACAAATCAGTTAAGCCCCTCATGGACCCTTTGTTCAGGAATTTTCTTTTCTCAGATGTCATACAAAGATGGTTATCTGACCTTCGGAGACTCCAGAGGACAAGACCTGGGGCCTGCAGGCCAAACTTAAGCCCCAGGGCCTCAGAAGTGACTATATTTGGAGATAGGGCTTTTAAAGATGTGACTAAGGTAAATTGGGGGAGGCCTTAATCAAGTAGGACTGTGTCCTTATAAGAAGAGGCAGTTAGGGCACAGACACACAGGGAAGACCATGTCAGGACTCAAGGTGAAGGCGGCCCTCTGCAAGCCAAAGAGGGAGGCCTCAGGAGGAACCAGCTTCTAGAACGAAGAGACATAACTGTCTGTTGTTTCTGCCACCTCATCTGTGGCCCATTGTTATGGCAGCTCGAGCAGATGAGTACAGAGGTGCAGAGAGTTTGATTCCAGCCAGCTTGAAGGACAGTCCCTTCAGCAGAGCCTTAGACTGATGTGAACTTGGCATTCCTGATGCTGTCCCACAGGAGCCTGGGTGCTGACTTGAGGAACTGACACAGAGAAGAATTCTATCAACTGAAATACAAAGTCTCAGTGTTTTAGAGCAGTTGGTGTTCTTTTTTTTTTCTTGCTTATGTGAAGTTCAGTTGGTGGTGGCCAGTGGCTTTGCTTCACGCAGCCATTCAGGGACCCGGGTTGGTGGAGAACCCACCGTCTTCCACCTGTGGTTTCCCAGGTCACACCAGGCTCTCGGCCAGGAGAGGCAGGGTAGAGAATTTAGAGAATCGAAGGGGATTTTAATGCATCAGGCTGACAGGCCATACCCTTTTGTCAGAGGGCTCCGTCCTTGGCTACACTGACCTGGGGAGGGGGGAGAGAAATGTGTCTGGTTGTAGGAGAGGGATGTGGGCTGGTTAGTCACCAGAGGACTCAGGAGGCACAGGCCAGCATTCTGGAGTTTTGGAAGCTCTCTCAGAACTTCTCACAGAAGGAGGCTGCTGCCTCTCTCATTGTACTTTTCCATCTAGCTTCTCCAAGCTGCAGCTGCTCTGCCAATCCTGTGCAATCCCAGCGATGTGAGCCATGGCTATGTGCCAATAAAGGTATGTGAGCACTCTCTCCAAGGCAACCTACATGGACCTGCAGAGACATTTCCTAACACTGAGGGTAGCCTGACATCCACTGTTTGTAGGGAAATGGTACTTCCCATAAGTATCTGTCCTCACAAGTCAGAAGACGTGGACCACGCCTCAGGATACACAAAGCAGTGTGACGGGTGTAGTCAGACTCCCGTGGAACAACAGGTTATATGGGACCATGTATAGCCCAGGGGTGCCAAAGGGCATGGTAATTTTATTAACCTATCATTTAAAGGATGGGAAAGTACTTGCATTTGCTGGGCTGCTCAGCAGAGTCCAATACAGAGCAGCGAGAGGGAACCTTTTAGTTAGGATCCACTTACAACAGAGGCAGCTGAAGATCATTACAGTGGACATCAGTACTAGAAAGTTTTTCAGTAGAAGGAGTGTAGAATTTAAAGTTAAATCTTTCCCTTTGCCAAGTGTGAATCGGAATACTCTGCAACATTCTGATAAGAAGATTGTAGACCATGAAAGAATATGTGAAATGTCAGCCAAATGCTTTCTTGAGCAAAATAGCTCATTGGGAATCGTGAGTGAAACTTCCGGTTTGGAACACGGAGTTTGGAGTGATCAGAGATATAGCTAAATAGAAGTGTTCCAAGTGAATTTCTAGATGCAAAGCTTATTTTTCTCATTTCTTTCCATTAGAAAGTTGGAGACACATACTTTTGGGGAAAAGAAAGCACTTTGACTCTATCTTGCTTTAGTTCATGTGCTTCACCTACACAATAATAATTGAAGTAGGTTAAGTACTCAAACAAACAATCCCAGGCTTTCAGTGGCCCAGCACCAAGTTTGTTGCTTGCTTGCAGAACAGCACAGGGTAGGAGTGGGCGCACTCCATGCGGTTGTTCAAACAGCCAGGCTCTTTCTTTCTGCTGGCTCTGCCTTTCTTAATGCCCTAATGCTCCAGGGGCGGATAGAAAGAGGAGGAGGACCAAGTGTGGGAGGGTCATATGGGCCCCGGATTTAGCACAGATTTCTCTTACTCATATGCCATTGACCATAACTCGGTCACATGGCCATATCCATTGCAAGGAGGTGGGGAGAGGTCTGGAAAATGCTGTCATGTGTCAGGGAGAAGAGAACACAGATACTGAGCTCTAGCAGTCTTTAATACACAGCCCAGAAAGGAGAATAAGTTAGCAAAGCTTGAAAAAGACTTTATATCCAAGAGATAATTTTGAGGGGCATCTGGGTGGCTCAGTTGGTTAAATGCTCAATTCTTTTTTTAAAAATGTTTTTTTAACATGTATTCATTTTTAAGAGAGAGAGAGAGGAATAGAGCACAAGTGGGGGAGGGGTGGAGAGACGGAGACCCAGAATTCGAAAGCAGGCTCAAGGCTCTGAGCTGTCAGCACAGAGCCGGATGCGGGGCTTGAATCCATGAACCGCAAGATCATGACTCAAGCCAAAGTCGGATGCTTAACCAACTGAGTCATCCAGGCACCCAAATGCCCAACTCCCAATTTTGGCTCAGCTTATGATCTCATGGTTTATGGGTTCAAGCCCCATGTCAGGCTCTACAGTGACATTGTGAGCCTGCTTGGGATTCTCTATCTCCTCATTTCCCCTCCTCTGAAAATGAATAAATAAATTTTAAAAAAGAGATAAACAATTTTTAACAAAACAATCCTGGTATTCTGTATGTTAACATGAATATTACGCTGTGCACAAAATCAGCCCGTTTAAAATTCAGAAGACCTGTCAAAGAGTACCAGAAATGCTGATGGTATGAGGGCCTTTCAGGGAGGAAGGCCAAGTTGTTTTGTTCTTGTTTTTTTTTCCCCCAATATTATAACCTTTTCAGGCTTCCTATGTTCCTAGGAAAGCTGTCTGTTTTGAATGCACTTTGGCCGGTTGTCTCTTCTTAAACATCTTCTAGCACTGGGGTCTTGAGCTGAGTAAATTGGGCCATGTGAGGTCTGGCAATACACTGAGGTGGCCTGGGACAGTCTGCAGAAGGCATGTCTGGTTCTGCCCAGCCTGGTACTGTGGTCACTACCAGCTCACCTCTCTTTTCTACAGCCTGGGGTGCGTATGCATTTTGTGGAGCTGGGCTCTGGCCCTGCTGTGTGCCTGTGCCATGGATTTCCTGAGAGCTGGTTCTCTTGGAGGTACCAGGTAAAGGAGACTGGGGGAAGGTATGCCCCAGCCAGGGGGAGGGGGCAGGACAGTCTAGGTAGTATGGCCCAGAGTAGAATGCCATCAAGGAGCTGAAAACTTACAATGGAGCATGTCTTGAATGTGTGACCATATGATATCTCAGAAGTCTTGGGGCCGGAGATGGGTCCAGACCTCAGAGCTGTATTAGCCCATAATCCACTTTTGCAGATAAGAGAAAGCCAGATTCTTCCAGACCCTTTATGCCACCTGCTGGGAAGCCTTTGTAATGAATATAGAAATTTGCAAGCTCTTTGCTAGAAAAAGTGATCTCTTAGATGTAGCATTAGAAGCAGTACATGAGCCCTACCACTGTCCATGGCCGCCCTATCCAGGTGGGCTTGTTCCAGCCTCATGGTGGTGATCCCAGATAGTGCCACATGGTACTTTGAGTTGAGCCATTTATAAGAATGGGGGTAGAAGGAAGCAAAGAAGGATTGTTGGCAAAAGACTAATGAGGCAACACTTGAGTGTACTTGAACTGTTTGTTTTCTAGATCCCTGCTCTGGCTCAGGCGGGTTTCCGGGTGCTAGCTCTGGATATGAAAGGCTATGGAGAGTCGTCTGCTCCTCCTGGTAGGTTAGCTGTCTCACAGCGGTCCTGTGTTGGTTATGCCTTCTGGCTGAGCTCTCTAGCTGCACTGACTTTCCTTGGGCCCAGGTCCAAGCATGTAGCCCTTCAAGGGAGTCTGATTTCACCTTTCCTGTTTCCTTCAGTAACCTGTGTCTGTGCACTTTGGGCCCAGATCTCCCCGCTCTGTGTACTCTAAAGGAATACAAGAAACCCAATGGCCTGTGTCCTGAGGAAGTCTCCCACTGGTCTGTGAGGATATAGGGTATAGGACGTACCATCCAGCTACATAATTTTTCCATCTTGCAGTACTCTGTATTCCTCAGGCAGTAATTCCCCATTCCCCATTCCCTAGCCCCTGGCAACTACCTTTCTCTCTACCTGTGAATCTGACTACTCCAGTCATCTCTAAGCAGATCATATGATATTCTTTTGTCACTGGCTGATTGCACTTAGCATAATGCCTTCAAGAGTTATCCATGTTGTAGCATATATCACAGTTTCCTTCCTTTTGAAGGCTGAGTAATATACTTCATTGTATCTATAGACCACATTTTGTTTATCACTGTATTCATCAGTGGGCATTTGCGTTGCCTCCACCTTCTGGCTAATGTAAATCATACTGCTATAAATATGGGTATGCAAATATCTGCTCGAGTTCCTCCTTTCAGTTTTTTGGGGTGTATGCCCAGAAGTGGAATGGTTGGATCATATGGAAATTGGTAGGCCAGATTCTTAACCAGGGTCTATGGATCCCAGATAGAGTCTATCTGGGGATGGGCATTGGGAACCTATGAACCCAAGTCTATGTTTGGGTGTATGAGCACTTTCCTGGGATGATGGAGTTTCAGAGGGGTTCTCAGCCCCAAACTGTTAAGCTCCCCAGGTGGAGGTAGGAGCATGTTACAGCCAGTTATGCGGCAGAATCCTTGTTCCTCCAGGGTCAGCCGTGCTGTTAGCCATAGCAGCTCAGTGAACCAGACCAGCTGCTCACCACTCCTTCTCTGAGCTGCCTCCCTGTTCACGTCACAGGGAGTGTGTCTAGTCTGAAGCAGCTGACATGAGTGGGTACTTGGGTAACCACCAGCCAGTCCATTCAGCCTGTCATGACAGGGGAGGTGCCTCCATGATTGTTCTCTACTTGTCATGGTATCAACTTAGCGGCTGCTTACTGCCTCTTGAGTAATGCAGAGGCACTTTGGACAAAAAGAGAACTTCTAGTCCAAACACCCAAGAAAGACATTTAAAGGTTTCCCCCGCAATTTAATTATTAAAATGTTTATTTTCATTCATCCCTACCTAAGATCTTCCCTGACTCCCCTAGGCATAATTTAGTAATTTATCATTCAAGCTAGGACACTATTAAAAGAAACACTATTAGTGTTTACACACTACTAGTTGTAACACACAAACTGAACTGTCTGGATGAATTGGGACTTATACATACCCTAATTATAACTATTTTTAAGAACATAATAATTTACCTGTTAACTATTGCTGAAGATTATATGTAACATGAATTCTAAAGCCAAGCATGACGATCTGGAATGCATACAAATACACTGCAGATCATTTGTATATAAATCTCATACCATTTGGAAATAGATTTTAAGTAACAAATTGTTTGCCTTTAAAACCATGAAGCCATTATCCCACGATTTTCTATCTTCCCTTGTTGCTACTGAAAGGTCCCATGCCATTCTGATCTATGAGGCCTTCTATGTGACCATTTTCTTTTTCCTCACCCTTAATACCTTTAGGATCTTTTTCTCTATCTTGTTGTGTTCTAAAACTTTATGATATTATAGTATGACCTGGGTCTTTTTTCATTCATTTTTCTGGGTACATTTATCTTTTAGTTCTTGCAAGTTTTCTTGAATTATTTCTTTGATAGTTTTTTCCTTCTATTTTCTCTTTTTTTTTCTTTTTTTTTACCTTCTGGAATTGCTATTATTATTAAAATGTTCATACCAAAGTGATCTACAGATGCAATGGAATCCCTATCAAAATCCCAGTGGCATTTTTTACAGAAATAGAAAAAATTCTACAAGTCCTGTGGATCCACAAAAACCCCAAATAGTCAAATCAGTCTTTAGAAAGAACAAAGCTGGAGGACTCACACTTCCGGATTTCAAAGTATATCACAAAGCTACAGTAATCAAAACAATGTGGTGTTGGTATAAAGATGGACATATGGCCAATGGAACAGAGTAGAGAGCCCAGAAATAAGTCCACACGTACTGTCAGCTGATCTTTGATAAGGGTGTCTAGAACATACTCTAGGGAGAAAGCAGTCTCTTCAGCAAATGGTGCTGAGAAAATTGGATACCCACATGCAAGAGAATGGAACTGGAACCTTCCCTTACACCATACACAAAAATCAACTCAAAATGGATTAAAGACTTAAATATAAGACCTGAAACTAAAACTCTTAGAAGAAAGCATAAATAAAAAGCTTTGTGACATTGACCTTAGCAGTGATTTCATGGAAATGACCCCCAAAAACACAGGAAACAAAACCAAAAATAACCAAGTAGACTGCTGCAATCTGAAGGTTTAATAAGGTATATATTTTTGTGGCAAAGGGATCCTCTTAGTCTGTTGGTAATTTTCAAGCATGTTAACTAATTGTATTTATTTTTAATTGCAGAAATAGAGGAATATTCCTTGGAAGTGTTATGCAAGGTAAGAAAGATCTTTGGGTAACATTTGTAATATCTTTTCTGTCCTGGTGTTTTCATTGATACAAGATAGAAGTATGGGCATTCATTCAATCCTAGGAAAGCATTTTACAGCATTTGGGTATAAAATTTTACTGAAAGTTAAGATGGTATTTCAAAATGACAGCCAACACTTACTATATATCAAGTACGGTTCTAAGCATTTGATGGAAAAAGAAACTGAGTCACAAGGAGGTAAAGTAATTGCCTTAGATCACTAGCTAGGAGAGCCAGGTCTGAACCTTGCTATAGCTCCCACAGCCCTCCTTGTAGCCACTCCCCAACTCACCTTTCCATCTGAGGATTTTATTTTTTATTTTATTATTATTTTTATTTAAAAGAGAATGTTTTTTAATGTTTGTTTGTTTGTTTGTTTGTTTGTTTATTTATGAGAGAGAGGGTCAGAGAGAGAGGGAGACACAGAATCTGAAACAGGCTCCAGGCTCTGAGCTGTCAGCACAGAGCCGGACATGGGACTCAAACTCGGGAATGGCAAGATCATGACCTGAACCAAAGTCGGATGCTTAACTGACAAGCCACCCAGGAACCCCTATTTTTTTAGTTTTTAGAGAGAGAGATACAAGTGAGTGAGGGGCAGAGAGAGAGAATCCCATGAGGGACAGAGAGAGAAAGGAGGAGGGAAAGAGAGAGAGAGAGAGAGAGAAGTGGGGTTTGTGTTTTTACCTGAAGCAGCATTCATGCTTACCTAATGTGGAACTCGAACTCACAAACCGTGAGATCATGACTTGAGCCAAAGTCAGATGCTTAACAACTGAGCCACTCAGGCGCCTTCCATCCTGAGGGTTTTAAAAACCACTTTATTTTGGTAAAGATTTTGTTGGCCAAACCTAGGGAGTTAGTGTGTGGATTGGTAACTGCAGTGACACTCCCTTTCTAGGTAAAGCGTAAGCACCATCGGGAAGGGGACCCTAATCTCAGGGCTTGCAAGGGGAGGCCAAGGCTGAGGTGAGGAGCCTGTGCCCCAAGGCTTCGTCAGCCCTCGGGGAAAACAGAGGCTGGGGAAGCCAAGGGGAAGAAACAGCCTCTTGGGTGGTCAGAAAGCGGGCCATGTCGATGATGCTGCTGAAAGTACAGGAAGGCTCTGTCTAGGAGTTATAGCTCTGTTTGGACCTCCTCCTAGCCAGGCCCACATGCAGGTTTTGGTGCCTCGTAAGAGGAGCAGTGATAAAACTTTACTTTTCAGTTGGGGTTATCCTTCCTTCCTCAGTTTCCAAGTCTTTACCTCTTCCACTTCTGATCTTGCTCATATCTCCCCCCAAATCCTGCCAAGTTCTCACCAGTGACCCTGTGGGGTTGGAGGGACTCTCCCCATTCCCCTAATGTCCGCTAATGAGACCCCTACTTGTTTCTGTCAAAATTGGTTCTTAAGACAGATGAAACAGTCAGGGCGCCTGGGTGGCTCAGTCGGTTAAGCCTCTGACTTCAGCTTAGGTCATGATTTTTTTTGTGGGTTCGAGCCCTGCATCGGGCTCTGTGCTGACAACTCAAAGCCTGGAGCCTGCTTCAGATTCTGTGTTTCTCGCTCTCTCTCTGTCCCTCCCTGCTCGTACTCTGTTTCTCAAAAATAAATAAACATTTAAAAAATTAAAAAAAAAGACAGATGAAATTTTCTAATTATCCTCCTGAAGGAAGTCCTTTTACTAAAACAAACAAGATAAAATGTGAGGCTCCTGTCTCCAACTCTACCATTTAAAAATCATTCGTGTGTCCACTACTAGGTATTCACCCAAAAAGAATTAACAAAATATGTCCACCTAAAACCTGGACATGAATATTCAAAGCAACATTCTTCACAAAAGCCAAAAAAACAACCCAATGGAAACATTGGGTGGAAACAACCCAAATGTTTATTAACTGATGAATGGATAAAAAAATTTGCATATCCATACAGTGGAATAGTATTCAGTCATAAACTGGCATAAAATCATGATGCATGCTTTGGCATGAATGAACCTTGAAAACATTATGCCAAGATAAGCTGGTCACAAATGGCCACATATTGTATAATTTCATTGATAAGAAATTTCCAGAAGAGGTCAGTCCATAGAGACAGAAATGAAATGAATGGTCACCAAGGGCCAGGTGAAATGGGGAACTGACTATTCATGGGCACAAGTTTCTTTTTGGCCTGATGCAATGTTCTGTGACTAGATAGCAGTAGTGATCTCACAACTCTGTAACTACACTAAGCTCTGTTGAATTGTGTATTTTTAACAGGTGAATTTTATGGTATGTGAGTCATAGCTCAATGAAGCTATCATTTGAAAAATTATCAGCACAATATTTATAATGTAAAATTTTATTTAAAACCCCCTGTATAATCTTCTTTTAAAAAAAAAAACCCTGCATAAACTTTAAATATACTGTTATAAGAAACTGAATGAGGAGCCATACTGCTTATCAAGTGCCCACAAAAACCCTTTTCTCAACTACAGCCCCCCCAAATAAATTGAAAACTTTTTTTTTCTCAACCACAAGTCCCTAAATTTATGTGCCAGTTCATCATACAACTGCTATTTGTTTTAGAATAAGTACCTGTAGGGGGCACCTGGGTGACTCAGTCAGTTAGTTAAGTGTCCAACTTCCTCTTAGGTCATGATCTCATGGTTCATGGGTTCAAACCCCATTTCGGACTCTGTGCAGACAGCTCGGAGCCTGGAGCCTGCTTCAGATTCTGTCTCTCTCTCTCTCTACCCTACCCCACACTTTCTCTCTCATAAAAAATAAATAAACATTAAAAAAATTTAGACTAAGTGCCTTTAGGGCACCCTGAACCTATTCTCTGTGTCTGTAGTCTTAGGATTCCAAATTAGGGGTATTGGAATGCAACTTAGCAATAATGGTGTGTTCTCAAGTTCATGAACGTTGGGAGGCCTATCTACACCCAGTTGCTCCTTTCATTGTGTGTGACCTTGAGTTAGTCATTTAACCTTTCCAGGTCATGCTGTCAAGTATAGAACGCAGAGAGGGAGTTGCACTTCGTGTTCTCAAGACCCCTCCTGATCTGTGTGATTCTCAGTTTTGTCACGTTAAATAGCAAAAATTCAACCCAGTAAATTATAAAGATCTAATTGGTTTTATGAATTGATTCATAAATCAGACAGTGTCCCGTCTAGCAAGTAGAGGGCTAGAGAAAAGAAAAGATTGCTAAAGGTAGAGAGGGAGTGGGAAGAAGGAAATTATTAGCAGGGAAGCCATTGTTTTAGGCAATGTCACCCTTCTAAGGAGAGCGCAAGGGGTCTCTCAGTAATTTCCTCGTGCTGACCAGGAAGTTCCCATGTTGGGTGGTTAAAGGTTACATTCAGGGCACCTGGGTGACTCAGTCAGTTAAGCACCAACTTCTGCTCAGGTCATGATCTTTCAGTCTGTGGGTTCGAGCCCGGCATCAGGCTGAAAGCTCAGAGCCTAGAGCCTGCTTCAGATTCTGTCTCTCTCTCTCTCTCTCTCTCTCTCTCTCTTCTCCTTCTCTCCCACTCATGCTCTGTCTCTCAAAAATAAATAAACATTTAAAAAATTTAAAAAAGGTTACATTTATTGAAGTTGAAACTGCAGGCAGGCTGTGTATTGAGTGTACGTTTTCTGACTTGGGGCCTTCACCTAAGTGATGCCATTTTAGGCCTGTGGTTTTCTTTTTAAGAGTAGGGTGCAGGGGCGCCTGGGTGGCTTAGTCGGTTAGGTGTCCGACTTTCGCTTAGGTCATGATCTCGCGGTTCGTGGGTTCGAGCCCCGTGTCGGGCTCTGTGCTGACTGCCAACTCAGAGCCTGGAGCCTGTTTCAGTCTGTGACTCCCTCTCTCTCTGACCCTCCCCTGCTCACGCTGTCTCTCTCTCTCTCCTAGAAATAAATAAAAACATTAAAAAAAAAAAAAAAGAGTAGGGTGCAGAAATAACACTGAACTAATCCTCAGTCTCCGTGGCTAATTGCAGAGTGAAAAAAGCTCTCTAGTGTCTCTTATAAGAACACTTATCCTATCTGATCAGGACCCTACCCACATGACCTCATTGAACCTTCATTACTTCTGTGAAGAGCCTATCTTCAAATGCTCTCATGCTGGGATTCGGGCTTTCACATGTGAATTTTGAGGGACACAAACGTTCAGTCTGTAACAAGACTTTCTGACTCTGTAATATGGTGTCCTTCTAATAATCATTCCCCCGTCTTTGGGGGGTAAAATGAAAATAAAAACCATTAAACTCATAACCTAATTACATCAATACTATATATCTACATTTAAAAAAAGTAACAGATTGTGCCTATTTTAATCAACAGAACCTGTCGTCTACACTTGCTTTCCAACATTCTTCAGAGGAACAGTGAGGGGCTTGCCCGTTGCCCCCTCCCTAGTGAGGTTGTCACAGTGGCCCTGAGTTTTCTAGGCAGGCATGGGAGCTGGGGTCCCAAAAGGAGCCAGAAAACCTTTAACATTCTTTCCCTTTGAAGCTGTCACTGGCTGTAGGAAGAACTCTGTGTTCCCCACCCTACCGCCCTCAAAAAAATGATGTTCCTATTTGGTGGATTTCCCCAGCAGAACTGAGGCCACAGTGGAGAATATCTGAACACTTTGTAATGCTTGTAGGGCTCTGTGGGAAAGCCCTCTGTCTTCTGGCTGTGTCCTGCTGTCCTTAAGTTTCCTTCTCCTTGCTTAATGTAGATAGGCCTCACCCAGAGAAGGAAAAAAAAAATTGCTTTTCATTTTGGAAGCACCTAAAACAGTAGGAGATGGAAATACAATCACATATATTTTCTAAGTCTTCAAAATTTTATGGTGTAGTCTCTGAAGCCTCCAGTGTGGGCAGTGATCTATGGAACCAAAAACAAATTAGGGACTTCCCAACTGGGAGAAAGAGGGGAGGAACCAAGGGACTGGAAAATATTTAAGATAATGCTGGTGGTCCACATGGCAAACCAGGATAGCCCTGAAGGCTTTGATGTTGAGGTTTTTTTTTTTTTTTCATTGTTTACTTATTTTGAAAGAGAGAGAGAAAGAGAGCAATCACAAGTGGGAGAGGAGCAGAGAGACAGAGGGAGGGAGAGAGAGAGAATTCCAAGCAGACTCCGTGCTGTCAGCACAGAGCCTGACACAGGGCTCGAACCCATGAACTGTGAGATCATGACCTGAGCTGAAATCAAGAGTCGGACACTTAACTGACTGAGCCACCCGGGTGCCCCTAGATGTTAAACGTTTGAAATCAGATAGGCTTGGAATCAGTCCCAGTTCTGCCTGACTAGCTGCATGGCCTTGGCTGAATTTGACCATTTGGCCATTGTGAGCCTCAGTTTCCTCATCTGTAGAGTGGAGATACCATTTCCTCCCTGCAGCTCCGGATGAGGGGAAAGGAAGTGAATTGAGTGGCCAAGCTAGGGCTCCAGGGATAGAACTCCACAGACTCTTTAGTTCTAGCAAGCGGAGGCTCCTCACACGGGCTCAGGTAAATAGGGGGATAGTGTTGATGAGTCAGACAGATCATATAGGAGGAGTGAGGTGGGGAAGCCGGAAGCTGGTGTGGCTTTCTGCAGGGACTGGAAGGCGTGTCAGGTCTCTGATTCACTCTGTCCACACCTCTGTTCTGTCCTACCCTTCCCCCATCGCCAGCAGGACCCCTCTGCTTGCTCGTTTTGTTCTGGCCCAGTATGACATCCCCAAGTCCTGATTCTGGATGACCCTCATCTCCAGCACCTCCACACCTTTTCTGGACCCTGTGGTTGCCGGGTGTGGCCAGGCACCCCCTCTGTGCTGCAGGACAGGGGCAGGAGCTTGCTGTCCTGGAGCAAGGCAGGCAGCCAGCCTTGTGCACAGCGGTTTTCTTCCTCTGTCCTTCTCCCGGGAAGAAGCCATGATGTCTGGCTTATGATGGATGTGGCCCAGTTAGGGATGTGTGCCAGCACACCCTGAATAATTCACTGTATGTGTCTGGGGTCAGTCGGGTTCCTGAGAGGATGCTGCAAAGGGAAGGGAGAGAATTCCTAAGTGAGGGAAATGATTGAACGTTGTGTTCATGTGCTCAGACCGCCATAACCGAATACCAGAACCTGGGAGGCTTAAACAACAGAACTCTATTCTCTTGCCATTCTGGAGGCTGGAAGCCCGAGATCAAGGTGTCGGCAGGGTCTCATCTGAGGCTTGTTGGTGGCCGTTTTTCCCCTGTGTCTTCACGTGGGCTTTCCTCTGTGCGTGTCCATGTCCAAACCTTTTGTTCTTATAAAGACACTGGCCAACTGGGATCATGACTCACTCTAATTACCTCATTTTAATTTACTCATTTCTTTAATGGCTCATCTCCAGATATAGCCACATTCCAAGGTCCTGGGATAGTGGCAAGATTAGGGCTTCAACATGTGAATTTGGGGGAGACACAATACAGCTTATAATAAGGCAGATATAGTAATTCTAATCTTGAAGCAGCTAAGGTGGGTGTATACAATTTCTGAGTTTTTGTCTTTTTTTCCTTAGGAGATGGTAACCTTTCTGGATAAGTTGGTAAGTCATTTTGAACTGATCTCTGGAGAATTCTGTTTGGGTGGGCAATTAAAGATGTTCCTTTGTTTTGTTTGTTTTTTGAGAGAGAGAGAGGCAGAGAGAAGGGGGGGAGAGAGAGAGAGAGAGAGAGAGAGAGAGAGATTGATTCTCAAGCAGACTCAATGCCCAGCACAGACCCTAACGCAGGGTTCAATCCCACAATGGTGGGATCATGACCTGAGCCAAAATCAAGAGTCAGATGTTCAACTGACTGAGCCACCCCAAAGAGGAAACCTTTGAAGGCATCAGCTGTTAGAACCCCTAAGGAGAGCGGCAAGGGCAGGAATGACACTTAGGGACAGTGGGAGGCAGGGTAGGTGCTCAGGAGGAATTACAGACGCAGAGATGGCAAAGCAAAGTGGAGAACACTGTAGAGCCAAGTGTGTTTTGGTTTTTTGTTTCAGGAAAAGCATTTTCCGGAGAATAGGATCCTCCTTTTGGACTTTAGCCAGGGTCAAGAGCTTTGTGTCCCAAAGTTTGGAAAATATCCTATGGGCTAATATTTTACAATGTTTAAAAACGTATATCCCTTTAGAAAGACCTAAAATCAAATGCCTTCCTTTAACATCATGTGGAATGTCAAGCACAAAGCAGATCACCAGTGGTGATCAGAGACTATACTTTTTACTTGTGTAAGTTTGAGATTGCAGTTAAGGAGTGCATTTCCCTGTCTTCAGGTCATGGTGGCAGGATGAGGAGAGCAGGGCCTGGCCTGAGGGGGAGAAGGGGTCAGCCAGGACAGTGACCATGGAGGGGTTGCGAAGAGAGACCCCCCAGAACAGTGCAGTTAGTCCCTGTTTGTTGGATATGAGAGTCAGGAGGAGAATTTGAGATGACTGAGGGGTTCTGGTCCAGCAGCAAGGCACAGTTCCAGACACTGTTACCGTCTCCGCCCTCTGCAGAGTCTCAGTTCCACAGAATTGGCTTCAGACATTTTGAGAATGATGGGGACATCTAAGATGACATGGCCCAGTGTGGCCACCCCAGTTCTGACTCTAGAATGCCTTTCTATCTAGAGGATTTCCATCTGGCTAAGAAAGTCTCTTACTCTGACTGTTGAAAGAGAGCCCCTGGGGTGCTAGCTGGCTGCGCTTGGGTGTCCCTCCCTGGCCCAGGCATTCCTGGGACAATTCCAAGGACAGGCCTGAGGGCTGAGTGGTGAAGTAACTCCTGTGTGAGAGGGAGAGGAGGGGGTAGACTCCGTGAAGGAGAAAAGAATCTGGAAAGCATAGCGTCACAGAAGCTCAGGGAAGAACATTTTAACGAAAATGTCTGATGTTGCAGAACAGTTGAAAAGTGACAGCCGAGAGGGGAAAAACACTATTATTAGTGATTAATAGCCTTTAAAAGGGAAGTTTCAGTGGACTCAGGGGTAGCAGGGAAGAAGCCAGCTTGTAGGGACTTAGGAGGTCACCAGACAGGTGACTGGTATAGATCATTAAGAAGCTGGACACAAAGAAGACAGAAGTGTGTCAGGGAGTAGAGGCTGGGAGCTTCTTTTCAAGATGGCAGGGGAAGGCTGGAGTGGCTCTGAAGGGCCCTTGTGTGGCTGATGGGGGCCAGCAGTGTGGGGTGGAGGGGTAAGCCCGATTTTAAGTTGGGGAAGCCTGGGTCTGAGTTACCATCCATGTGGCCTTGAACAAGTCACCTAATAACTGTGAGCCTGTCTTCCTATTTGTAAAATGTGTACTCGGTTATTGGAAGAATTCCAGACAATGGGTATACACACTTAGCACAGTGCCTGTGACATAGTAGGTCCTCAATAAAAGGGAGCTGTTGCCCCCCATTGTCAGCAGCAGCAGAAGAAAGGAAGACACAAGTAGAGAGGGAGGGATTAAAGATGCCTCTGAGGTTTTAGTGGTTAGTTAAGGGAGGGAAGATCCCAAAAGAATGGGGAGAGAGTCACAGTCACTCAGTGAAAGATGAACATGGAACACAGGGAGGTAAATCATCCTAACTCAAAGACAAAAAGTAGAGAAGGAGGTAAAACAAACTTTGATTTGAGGGAAGGTAGAGCGGGAGAGGATTTGTGGCCAGGGGCCTTAGTGTTCTAAGAAAATGTAAGAGACCAGTCATCTTCAGAGGCTCTATGGAGCTGGTGTGTGTGGGAAGGGAGGCCTGAAGAGGGTGGATGTTGGAGTAGCTCCTGCATGGTTAGTGGAGGAGGAGTCCTAGAAAGTGAAGGAAAGGATCGCCAGCTGAGGGTTTGGGCCTCCAGAGAGCACGAGGCATAGGGCTCTCAGCACCCCATCCTGGAAACCTGCCACATTCAGCTCCTGTCTTTATCCTTCACTAGGGGATCACTCAAGCTGTGTTCATTGGCCACGACTGGGGAGGCCTGCTGGTGTGGACCATGGCTCTCTTCTACCCAGAGAGAGTGAGGTAATTAGTCCAGAATTTGGACTTGAATTCCTATTAGAATCCTTCCCCAGGTCTTGAACTGCAGTCAACTTCTTGAAAACAAATAGATTATCTGGGAAGGCAACATGTAGCTTCTTCTTGACCATTAACACATTCATAAGGAAGGAGGGCTTATTAATGAGTTAAAGTCTTAGGAAGCAAGGCCTATCCCAGTTACCGGTAAGGAGCCTGGGTAGCCAGTGGGAATGTAGGAGAATGGGGGTAGACTTTTGGGGGGAGTGGGTGAGGCAGCAAGACTGGTGGGGTCATAGAGCTGAGTACCAGGAGAAACTTCAGCCCTGGACCAGGAGTTGGGAAAGGTGGCTTTCAGTTTTGCTTTGAACTGGCTGTGTGACAAATCACTTCACCCCTTAGGCCTTGGTTTCCTCAACAACAGCATGGTAATGGTAACTCCTTGTGACTATATACCTGCAAAATACTGTGCAGGTATCAGGTTAGAATGGCATTCTGTGCCCACCATCACATCGTTCACACTCATTCTTAGAATGGCATCAGGGCATCAGTGGGAACTTTCAGAGGACAAGTTTTAAACCCAGAGAGCCCAGTGGTCTTTGTGGCCATCCCCCCAGTTGTGCTGGGAACTGTAGTTAAAGTGTGTGTGACGTCCTATTTCAGCCTGAGATCTTAGCAAATTAAATCAACATCAGCCTTAACAGCTCTATTTCCCTAACTAATCCAGTTACTTTTTCTTTCGTTGAGTTTATAAGAATGGAAAACTGGAGAACTTTGTTCAGCTCAATATCAGCTCAAATGGTAGGATGATATCACAGACCAATGTGAATCAAACACTTCCTGAAATAAGTTTTTGCACTCTTGTTCCTCTGATCTCGTTAGCTTCTCTCTCTGTCCTCTCTTTCATCCAGACTTGAAATAAGAGCTCAGTTCTTAGCAATTGGGTCACTAGAAAGTAACTCTATAGACTGTATTAGATGCTTCTTGAGGGGGATAGAAGGAACTAGAGCAACAAGTGTATGATCTCTACCTTGAAGGAAGTGAAACACCTTCTTGTTGTTTTATTAAACTTAGTCTCTCTACTATGAGACTTTGAAAAATTTAACATGAGCCCAGTGAAGTTGTGCCCAGAAGAACATTAGGTCTGGGATACAAAAGTTTGCTCTGGGTTCCTGTTCTTCTCATTGTTCTGCTTTTATCCTGGCTGTCATTAGTTTGGTAGTAGTTGCTCCTTCTCCATCTGTGCTCATCAGAACAGCCCTGCTGCTGCATTCCTGGAGGAGAGGGCAAAGCTGGCTATTAAAAATGTTGTTGGCGTCAGGGTGCCTGGGTGGCTCAGTTGGTTAAGCATCTGACTCTTGATCTTGAATCAGGTCAGATCATGATCTCACAGTTTGTGAGTTCGAGCCCTGCATCATGCTCTGCATTGATGGCGTGGAGCCTGCTTGAGATTCTGTGTCTCCTTCTCTTTGCCCCTCACCTGTTTGTGCTCTATTTCTCTATCTCCAAATAAATAGATAAACTTAAAAACATTAAGAGTATCTTTGGCATTGATCTTCACCTTTCTAGTCAGGTAATGAATGAAAGGGGGGAAAAGCCCACCTTTAATGTGGAATATTTCTTTAAATCCTTGCTTTTGGCATTCTACTGAGATAAATTGCAGAGATCTATTTAATGTAAGAGTCGACTCCCTTGTTTGGGCAAGAATACCTTTTTATATCCTTTCTTTGACAATCATGTAGAGACTCTGCTCCCAAAAGGAGGCTGTGGTTTAGCTTTTTCCAATCTTAATGTGGTTGGCAGCAACATTTATATGCTAATGTCTCATGTGATGATAATTTTTTTTATATATGGAATAAACTGTATGTCAAGGCAATTGAAAAGAAAATCCTATTCAGTTCAGAATGTTAAGCAAAAGCTAGAATTTCTTGTGATTTAAGTTATGCCTAAAATAGGTTCATTGTGGTAACATTGGAAACCTTTAGACATCAGTGTAACTTATTTTATAGCCTCACCTGCACTGTCTTATGGTGGTTATTGAACATTTGAAATGTGGCTGGTTCGAACTGAGATAATAACTCTATGTAGGAAAAACCTTCCAGATTTCAAAGACTTGATACCAAAAAAAACCAAAAGTGAAATATCTTATTAATAGTTTTTGCATTGACAGCATGTTGAAATGATTAATATTTTAAATATATTAGGTTGAATAATATATTTAAATTAGCATTAGATTTCAAATTAATATTAACAATATTTTAAGTTAATCTCACATGTTTCTTTTTACTTGTTTTAATTGGCTAATAGAAAATTTTAAATTATATGTATGGCTAGCATTCTATTTGTTTGTTGGCACTGGGCAAACCTCACCACTGCTTTCCCTGATGGTTTCATTTGTCCTACTTATCCTGTCCCTCCTTGTTTATGTCTCCCACAGATAGTCTGTCCTCTCTGCTTCTCTTTTGGGAAGGAGTTTCCCTAGGATCACAGTGGGGATGGGATCCTTTTGCCAGACTAACTGTGGTCCTGGTCGACTTGTCAGCCCTGCCTTCGTGTGGTCGCTCAAATCCACCCATCTCTTTTATTCCTGCTTCTGCCATCCTGTTACCCCTGGATGACTATGCTGCAGTGTGCTGGCCCTCTCCTTGCTTTCTGGTGTCCCTCTCTGTATCCATGTCATGTACTGCTGCTGGACCCATCCCTTCCTGACTCCAACTTTAGTCTACTCTCCCCTTTTTTCAGAAGCTCTTAAGGTTGTCTTGGTTTTCTGCAGCATCTGATCCAGACTCGGGGCCCTTCGTGTCCAGGCTCCCAGTTGCCGTGCTGGCTTTTTTTCACAAGATGCCCCATTGAACACTTGGCCTTTGGCCACATAGATTCTTTGCCCTGTCAAACTTAGCAACATGTTTTGCCCCCTTCTACAGTTTGCTCATGCTACCCCGTGATGTTTCCCTTACAGTGTCATTTCCCCTCCCCTACTCTCTCCCACCCTTAAAGATCAAGTTCACATGCTCTCTTTTCCATGAGATCTTCCATGATGCCCAAATTTAGAAACTCTTTGTCTCCTTGAACTCCCAACTCTTTGTCTCCTTGAACTCCCATGGTGCTTGTGCTAGGCTTAAGGCTCATATCACAGTCCATCTTGTAATATAGTCATGGGTATATTTGTCTTTCCTTTTAAAATTATAATAAGCTCATTGAGTATTGATCTTATATCTTCTCTCCCTTTGTATATGGCATAAAATTAACACAGAGTTAAGAGAGTAAAAGAAGGAAGGCAAAAATGAATACATTAAAAAAATTTTTTTAATGTTTATTTTTGAGCGAGAGACAGAGTGTGACCAGGGGAGAGGCAGAGAGAGAGGGAAACACAGAATCCAAAGGGGGCTCCAAGCTCTTAGCTATCAGCACACAGGGGCTCGAACCCACGATCCAAGAGATCATGACCTGAGCTGAAGTTGGACCGTTTACCAGCTGAGCCACCCAGGTGCCCCAAAACAAATGCATTTTTTTAAAACTATAATTTAATCAAGGTTGACATGCCACGCATGGTGTGTATGTGTGTCTTTGTTTAAGACAAGAAGGTGAGAAATACTTCAGTTCAGTGGGGAAAATCCACCAAGCTGGGAGTCAAGAAATTGGACCGCTGACATTCTCCCCCACACTGCTAGTGTGAGATCTTGTGCATATCCTTTTCCTGCTCTGAGCTTTGGTTTTGATGTGTAAGGTCCTTTCCGGCTCTTAGTAGTGTCTTCTTACAAGGTCTACATCTTGGTGTCTTCTTTCCACAGGGCAGTGGCCAGTTTGAATACTCCCTTCATACCGGCAGATCCCCGCGTACCCCCGATGGAGAGAATCAAAGCCAATCCTGTTTTTGATTACCAGCTCTACTTCCAAGCACCAGTAAGTTCAGGCTCCTGAGAATGGCGATCCCAGCAAGGTTTTTGTTCTTTTTTCCCCTTTCTCTCTCCTCCCCCATTGACTTGATTTTCTCTGTGCCATATAATTTTCCATGTCATTAGTCAGAAATGATTTTACACCGGGGCTCAGGTAAAACTGACTCCATGTTCCAGCCAGTCCTTTCCAGGGGATGACACGTTTCTGTGTGTGTGCATTTGGGGTGGCAGGGGTGCAGGGAGTAGGGATGATGGTACAGTGGGGTTCTCATGTTTCTCTGAAATTGTGGACTGAGAGGCTAAGCACAGGTCTGGAGCTGCTGTCCCTTAGTTCTGTGCCTGAGAGCCTACTAAAGCCTACTTCTTGTTGGGGACAGCTCCTGGACTCTAGCCAAGGCCCTCGTATCTCACTTGCTGAGGAGTGAGTTTCGTGATTACAGGGAGCACCAGAGCCTGAAAGCCCTGCGCCAGCCTCGAAGTGTGGTTTGAGATACAGACGAGGTTTCTAGGTATCACCTCATGTGCCACAAGCCCAAGGCATCTTTCAAAGGTGCTCCCTGGAGCTTGGGTGATGCCTGTGGTGGGGTGTCACTGCCACCTTTCAAGAGGATTCACTGAGAGCAGCACTGTGAGCCAGCATCATCTGGCCTCATCTTTGGGGGAGGGGCACCTGCATCTCATCCGCTTATGGACTCTGGACCCCGAACAACATCTGGGTACTTCCAGAAGGGATAAAGGACATTTCCTTGACACTCTCGAGAGAATGGATTGAATTAATAAGAAGCACAAGAGCGTCTCCCCTCTTTTCTCACCCAGCCTTGCCCTCCTGCTGCCCACAGGAGGCACCATTTCCAACCGAGAGTCATAACCATCCCAGTTTCAATTTGGCAACTGGCTCTTCTCTTAAGAATGATTGTAATTGATAAGATGCTGCCTTGGAAGAGGAACTTTCCAAGTGAGGCAATGACCTGACTCATTCAGTGAGACACCAGGAGCCTATAGCAACATCATGAAAAGGTGCTCAGTGTATCACATCCTTCATGGGGGCCAGGCCCTACTGTGCCCAGAGTGTGGGACGTGGTGACCTCCCTTTGGCTTGAATTGAATCAAAGCGCATTTAATTAGTTTGAAGAAGTCTTGAGTCTGCAGGATGATTAGATGGTGTATTAGTCCGTGAGGGCCGCCATAATGAATTACTACAGACCGGAGGGGCATAAACAGCAGAACTGATTATCTCACAGTTCTGGAGGCTGGAAGTCCAAGATCAGAGTGTCTGTATGGTTGGCCTCTTGTAAAGTCTCTCTCCTTGGTCTGTAGATGGCCCCTTTTTGCTGTGTCCTCACATGGCCTTTCCTCTGTGCACATGTCTTTCTGTGTTCGAATTTCCTCTCCTTAAGGATACCAGTCACAGTGGATGAGGGCCTCTAAAGACCTCATTTTAATGACCTCTTTAAAGACCTCATCTCCAAATGTTACTTTCTGTTACTAGGGGTTAGGATTTCCTAGGAATTGGGAGGAGACAGTTTGGCCATGACAGACGGGTAAGGGGATAAAGAACAGTGCCCCCTGGTGGGAGAAAAGCAGGAGGGTGGGGACTGGATGGAGACCGTGAAGGGGAAGGCTGGGGACTGTGGGCATTTCCCTGTTTGGAAGGAGGCTTGGACATGGGACAGGAAGGAGGTTTAAGGGTCCTTGTGCACCGGACAGTAAACCCCAAGCCTGTAGCTGATATCAAAAGTCATAGAGAATCCTCGTAGGTCCCTGCCATAGATGGCCCCGTGAAAATTCTTCCAGCTGGACTAGAGGTTGGAGTCCCTGCTCTCAGGTGTGATGTACTGCCTGCCACCTCTCCCAGGTGTTTGCTTCGCCCCTGTGCACCTCATGCTGGAGAAGGATCTGGTGGTGGGGAGAGAAATAAAGTGTTGGTTCCCACTGCCAGTGGCAGCCGCCATGGCCTTTGGGAATTGAGGGAGGGAACAGGGCTCTACCCAGAATTGGGAAGCTGGTGTCTGGAGTTTTCCCGACTCTTATCTGACCCTTTCTCAATCTCTGGCTCTGCCTGGCACCCACCCCTTAGAGCCCAACCCCCTGCTACCACCCTCTGTGTGCCTGGAGGGCCCCACCCCACAGGCCCTTCCATCGCCATGGCTCCATGCTTCTTAGTTACTTCTCACCCTCTTCCCTAACCCAGACCCCCTGCCTCAGGTATGAGTAACAGGCCCTCAACAATCAGTCCCCAAATGCCAGGCTGCACCATATGGGGGGTCCTGAGGGAGAGAGAGGGCATGGGCTTTCACGCCCACTTCTTTCTCTTCCACCTTTTTAACTTTTGAATTCAACATTTGTAAGAAGATTCACATCTGCTGTAAAACAGAGGTGCTCCGTGTTGTGGGTGAGGGGCTGAACATTACAAATATGTTTCAATGTCAGAAATGTTTTGATGAGTGTTTCTTACAAAGAATTAATATTTATTCGTTCCTGTAGCAAATGCTTCTGCATCTCCTCTGATGTGCTGCAACTCCTCTGATGTTGCAGAGATGAGTGACAATCTCTGAGGGTCAAACAAGCAGGTTACAAATAACTGGAGCATAAGGCAGGCATAGGGGCACCGGGGTGGGGGAGTGGGGGGAAGGTTCAGTCGGTTAAGCATCTGACTTTAGCTCAGGTCACAATCTCAAGGTTTGAGAGTTCGAGCCCCACATCGGGTCTCTGGTGTCAGCACAGAGCCTACTTTGGATCCTCTGTCTCCCTCTCTCTCTGCCCCTCCCCTACTCATGCTTGTGCATGCAGGCAGTCTCTCGCTCTCTCTCTTGCTCTCTCTGTCTCTCTAAAAACTAAACATTTAAAAGGCAGGCACAGGGGCGCCTGGGTGGCTCAGTCGGTTGGGTGGCCGACTTCAGCTCAGGTCCTGATCTCATGGTTTGTGTGTTCGAGCCCTGCATCGGGCTCTGTGGCTGAAAGCCAGCTCAGAGCCTAGAGCCTGTTTCAGATTCTGTGTCTCCCTCTCTCTCTGACCCTCCCCTTCTCATGCTGTCTTTCTCAGAAATAAATAAAACGTTAAGAAAAAAAATTTTTTTTAAAGGCAGGCATAAAGGACTGTAATGGAGGCACAGCATACTTGGAGAACTCCTAAGAAAACATTAATTTTTACCAAAGGAGAGGCATTTGGACTGGCCCCTGGCAATGCATAGGATCTATGTGGGTGGATATGAGAAGAAGGGCCCTTCCAGCCTGAGAGGACAAAGGGCTGATGATGCATATGACATGTGCTTAACCCAGGCAAATTCTTTATCTTCCATAAATACCATGCCAGATAAGAGACTTCCTGAGACGAGACTTCCCAACAAAACAGCGATCCTTGAGTGAGTTTCAGAAGGTCTGGAAAATCTTGAAATTGCCTGCATAATTTCATGTATGCGTGCATGTGCCCAGGGAAGGAGTTCTTGCCTCGCTTCCATTAGAGCCTTTAGAAGTCAGCACAAGCTAGCAGCTGCTGGAGCGAAGCACTTGGTGTTTGAAGTGAGGCACAAGGAGCAGCATCGGCGTCGCCTGAGAGCTTGCTAGAAAGGCACACTCGCAGGCCCTTTTGCCATGTACCCAGCAAGACTCCACTTCTTCACAGGGCCCCACAGGTGACTCATGTACACTAAGTGCCCCAGGAGGTTATCCCAGCTTTGCCTGCACCTGTTTTGTGACTCGGGCCCATTTCTGTGATTCTCTAGCCTGAAGATCCTCAAATATCACCTGCATCAGGATCACCTGGAAAGCCAGTTGAAACACAGATGGCCAGACCATACCCCCCAGATTGTTGATTCAGTGGATTGTGTTGGCACCAAAGGGTTCACATCTCTAACCAGCTTTCAGGTGATGCTGATGCTGCTGGTCCAGGGAAGGGGCTGATCTAGCCGTTTTCCAGATCGTGGTCGACATGCGTAGCCATTCTTCTTAGTGAATTGGAGACCTCTGGGCAGCTGTTCCACTCTAGGATTGCTGGAGCGGATCAGGGAGGGCACCGACAGTCTTACTGATAATAGACTCCCTGCACTGCAGTGATTCTGCAACTTTCTGGTCCCAGGCCCTCTTTATACTCTTAAAAGTTATTGAGGACTTCAAAGAGCTTTAGTTAATGTGGGTTACCATCTGTTGGTATTTACCCTCCTAGGTATTGTAATTTTAAAATATTTATTCTTTATCTGGGGCACCTGGGTGGCTCAGTCAGTTAAGCGTCCAACTTCGGCTCAGGTCATGATCCCATGGTTCCTTGGTTCGAGCCAGACATCAGGCTCTGTGCTGACGGCTCAGAGCCTGGAGCCTGCTTTGGATTCTGTGTCTCCCTCTCTCTCTGCCCCTTCCCTGCTTGTGTTCTGTTTCTCTGTCAAAAATAAATAAACATTAAAATATATATATATTTAAAATATTAATTATTTCATTAAAAAATAATGTGCCTATGTTGATGTAAGTGACACATTTTTTATATTTCCTTTAAAAACTTTAGTGAAAATAGTAGTCCAGAAATTGTTTTCTATTTTCTTTTTTTTAATGTTTGTTTATTTTGAGAGAGAGAACACATGAGCAGGGAAGGGGCAGAGAGACGGAGAAAGAGAATCCCAAGCAGGTTCCGTGCTTGGAGTAGAGAGCCCAACATGAGGCTCAAACTCATGAACCATGAGCTCATGACCTAAGCCGAAATCAAGAGTCTGACACTTAACTGATTGAGCCACCCAGGTGCCCTTTCATTAATTTTAATATTGTGGTAAAATACTGTTTAAAAGAAAACCACAAGCCCAAAATGGCATTACTTAGGTGAAGGCTCCAAGTTATTAAACCAACACTCAATACCCAGCCTGACTGCAGTTTCAACCCCCCACAAATGCAACCTTTAACCAGTCAGCATAGGAACTTCCTGGTCAGCACAAGGAAATTATTAAGAGACCCCTGCCGTTGCCCCTAGCAGGGCCACTGTGCCTAAAACAATGGGTCCTCTGCTAATAATTTCTTCTGTCCTAC